CATAAATAGAGAAAAGGCTTGCAACTCTTTTCTCGTCGTCTGCCTCACCTCGCTTAAACTTCGCCTGATTATTTATCTAAAGCATAAGAACACATGGAATATGCATACATCAATAAATTTGTTACACATTCTTCTTCCTTTTCATATTTCCATTGAATTTTTATGTGCCCCAGATTTGTTAATATTTCGATTAAATCAACCGCATCTTGGGTAAATTTTGTTGATGTGCACTAGCTGGGACGGAAGTGCAATAATGGTAACTCTAACATTACAAATGTTCTGCATGAAATAAAAATTCCAAGCTTTGTAATAAATATATTGAGAAATTTGGTTGTCTATGTCCTATCTTAAATGTTAATCTTCATCCATTAGAATCTGCTAGTTAGAGTTATCTTGTTATACACAGAACTTACAGTTACATGTAATATGAAGAGAAAATTCGGGATTTTTCCCCTCTTGCATTCAATGTTCCGAATGACATAACACTTAATGATGACACCTGAAAATACCGGACACTTCCGTCCCAGATTTAAAAAGAAAGATATGGAGAAGGGGGGGGTCCATACCCCAAGTGCTTGTGACCCTGGGGCCATGAATTTCACAATTTTGGTAGAGGGCTCACTTCTTATTACAATCATGCCAACAGTTCGACTGCTTGGTGTCCAGGAGTGAAGAAGAAGATTTTTAAAGATTGCATTAATTTTGGTGGTTTTAGCCCCACCCCTCAGGCCCCAGGGGGGCAGGGACTCTGAAATTCACAATTTTTGTTCCCCTTCACCCAAAGATGCTATTTGCAAAAATTGGTTGACAATGGCTAAGCATTTTCAGAGAAGAAGCTGAAAATGTTCAAATGTTAATGCACGACTCGCAACGAACGCTGACAGACAAAAACGGAGTGACTCAGGTGACCTAAGAACAGTGGATGTAAAATTTTTTCCTTATACTGCAATCGAACTAGAAGCCGAGGAAACTTTTGAAGTGCTGTTCAATGTTTCTATAAAGAGAACATCGAAAAGTCCATTAATGCAGGGATTTATCAGTACCTTCTCATGGGCCAAAATTTTGGCCCCATTCCCAGTTGAAAATAAGTTCAGTTTTTCCCAGTTTGGCAGTATATTTTCCCAATTGGTGAACAATGCTAAAAGCCACAGTCATAACACATGTTTAAAACACTGTAAAAATATCGCCAACTTTTAATCCGAATTTCCTCCGTTTTTCTGAAATTGGTGATATTGTGTAATTATATAGATTTATTAAGTTATTTCCACCTGCTCAATTGATATATGATTGAATGGTAAGGACTGAAGGTATTATTTCAGATAAAAAAATATATGTCTTCAATGCATTAATACATATTAAATAGGAGGACTTTGAGAAGATGTGTTCTTGGTAAAAATTTTTTCCCCATTTCCCCAAACATGGTGTTTCCCAAATTAGGCTGATAAATCCTTGATAGAATGAGCATCAAATTGGAGAGGAAATTCTTCAAAAAGACCTAGCTTATTTAATGTAGAAAACTTTACTTGTTATGAAAATAAAGTCTTTGAAATCTGAAACTTTTTATTTATTGAAAACAATATCATAAAAAGTTAAAAATCATAAGTTCATGTGGTATACAAATGATATCTAATAATTTTTAGTCTTTATTTTTTATGCGCTCGCTCTTTGAAATCATGCTTTGTTCATAAATTTTTTTTTTATATTTCTTGTATTCGCTCGCCTCATAATTTTTAACCCCAAAATGAAAAACAATATTTGTAAAATTATTAGCTCTTCTGAGCCAAAGGCTCAAAGAGCTAATGCTATGGCCATTTGTGCGGTGTGCGTAAACTTTTTAGAATATGGGCCATAACTCAAGAACCCCTTGGCCAATTATTGTCGAATTTGTCACAGGGTATCCTTGGCCCAAGGGCTCCCTTTTATACTAAAACTGGGGTTGTGACCCTTTAACAAGGGGAGATAATTAGGAAAATAGAAAAAAAAGTACTGGTTGCTAAAAAATCTTCTTCTCAAGAACCACTGGGCAGATTATCACCAAACTTACACAAAAGGATGAGGATATGTTGTAGATTAAAATTTGCACGGGGATTTACCCTGGGGCAAAGGGCGTGGTCTCAAGGTCACTTCAAAGTTGACCAAAAATTACATTTTATTAAAATGTTGATATTTTGCTTACTATAAGGACTAGGATCATCAAATCTTGTCAGTTGGTGCATCTAAGGACCTCATATCATGTTGACTCAAAAGTAGGTCACGGTGACCTACTTTTTAAATTTTGTGGCCATTCTTTTTCAAAATGATTTAGAGGCATATTTTGAACAATTTAAGGCCTATGATCATCAAACTTTGTCAGTTGATGCATCTTGGGTCCTCAAAGTACGTCAACTAAAAAGTAGGTCACCTTGACCTACTTTTTGAATTTTATGGCTAATCTTTTTTAAAACACTTAAGGTCATTAATTTGAATACGGGGAGGCTTAGAATCATTAAATCTTGTAAGATGATGCATCTTGGGGCCATAAAACATATTTATTAAAAAGTAGGTCACGGTGACCTACTTTTTGAACTTTGCAGGCATTCGATTTCAAAGTGTTTTAGAGGCATAATTTGGACATTTTAAGTCCTGTGATCATAAAACTTTGTAAGTTGATGCATCTTGGGTCCTCAAAAAAGGTCAACTGAAAAGTAGGTCACCGTGACCTACTTTTCAATTTATATGACTATAATTAAATATTTCAGGTACTAATTGGCTTAGAATCATCAAACTTTGTCAGTTGATGCGTCATGGGTCTTCGGAGTAGGTCGACTAAAAAAGTAGGTCCCCGTGACCTACTTTCGGAAAATTTATGGCTTTAATAAAATATTTCGGGTACTAATTGGCTTAGAATCATAAAACTTTGTCAGTTTATGCGTCATGGGTCCTCGGAGTACAACAACTGAAAAGTAGGTCACAGTGACCTAGTTTTGAAAATTTATGGCTTTAATCAAATATTTCGGGTACTAATTGGCTTAGAATCATTAAACTTTGTCAGTTGATGCGTCTTGGGTCCTCGGAGTACAACAACTGAAAAGTAGGTCACGGTGACCTACTTTTGAAATTTTATGGCTGTATTTAATATTTTCAGGAATTATTTGGCTTAGAATCGTCAAAATTTGTCAGTTGATGCATCTTTGGTCCTCGGAGTAGGTTGACTGAAAAGTAGGTCACTGTGACCTACTTTTGAAAATTTATGGCTGTAATTAAATATTTTGGGTACTTATTGGCTAGAATCATCAAACTTTGTCAGTTGATGCGTCATGGGTCTTCGGAGTAGGTCGACTAAAAAAGTAGGTCCCCGTGACCTACTTTCGGAAAATTTATGGCTTTAATAAAATATTTTCGGGTACTAATTGGCTTAGAATCATAAAACTTTGTCAGTTTATGCATCATGGGTCCTCGGAGTACAACTGAAAAGTAGGTCACAGTGACCTACTTTTGAAAATTTATGGCTTTAATCAAATATTTCAGGTACTAATTGGCTTAGAATCATTAAACTTTGTCAGTTGATGCGTCTTGGGTCCTCGGAGTACAACAACTGAAAAGTAGGTCACAGTGACCTACTTTTGAAATTTTATGGCTGTATTTAATATTTTCAGGAATTATTTGGCTTAGAATCGTCAAAATTTGTCAGTTGATGCATCTTTGGTCCTCGGAGTAGGTTGACTGAAAAGTAGGTCACTGTGACCTACTTTTGAAAATTTATGGCTGTAATTAAATATTTTGGGTACTTATTGGCTAGAATCATCAAACTTTGTCAGTTGATGCGTCATGGGTCTTCGGAGTAGGTCGACTAATAAAGTAGGTCCCCGTGACCTACTTTCGGAAAATTTATGGCTTTAATAAAATATTTTCGGGTACTAATTGGCTTAGAATCATAAAACTTTGTCAGTTTATGCATCATGGGTCCTCGGAGTAGGTTGACTGAAAAGTAGGTCACTGTGACCTACTTCTGAAAATTTATGGCTTTAATTAAATATTACAGGTACTAATTGGCTTAGAATCATCAAACTTTGTCAGTTGATGCATCTTGGGTCCTTGGAGTAAAACAATTGAAAAGTAGGTCACTTTGACCTACTTATAAAATTTTATGATTATAATTTTAAAAAACATTTTAGGTATTAATTGGCTTAGAATCATCAAACTTAGTTGATGGGTCCTCAGAGAATGACAAGTGATAAGTAGGTCACCATGACCAACTCTCAGGTACTAATTGGCATAGAATCATCTTGGGTTCTCAGAGTGTGAATTGGAATTTCAAGGGTTTATGTAAATATACAGGATACTTCGAAGCTTCAAATAGAAGTGATAGGTTGTACAGTTTATCAGAAGAGCGATTCAAGGCCCATGGGCCTCTTGTTTCACCCTCTTGCCTCTTTTTTTTTTTAATTTTTGAAAAGCCGAAGAACTATTTTACAAATTGGTGTGCCCTTAGTGACCAGGTTTAAGTTTTTGGAGCAGGTCCATTCACAAGTAACTAAAAGCCTGCATACCTGGACCAAACTTTCATGGATGATGCATCTAGCGATGTATACTATTCAACCTGCTTTGGATGCTGGATCTGACCTATATTTTCCAAATGGATACTTCCAGACTTGCTCCAGATGTTGTAACTGACTGACATTTCCTTAATTATATAGTGAACAGGTTACAATTTTTGGAGCAGATCCATTTCCAAGTAACTATAAGTCATACTTAAACCAGATGTGCATGGATATTGATCTTGGAATGCACAATAACAAGAAAAAAATATGATGTGAGATTTGCCTTACTTAAAATAACATTTGTTGAAGTGAGCTTCATGATCTTTGATTACCTATGTTTGTTTTACATTTTTGTCTTGTATATGTTTACATGTATGGTTGATTTTTTTAATGCATGTTTTCTCAATACTTTTCAAGCAACACTGATAAAAGAAAGAGCTTTTTTAAGACATTAAAAGAACATTAAACTTTAATTAACAGATGGACAAGCAGACTCAGTTTTGTTTATAGCAATGGCTGGGAGTCATCAAATATGGGCCTACTTTCTTGTTGATGTAAAATGGTACAAGGAGGGGTAAGCAGAGAGCTTTAAGCTACATATTAACCACAAAGAGCTGCAAAACCATTTCTAAAATAATACTTTTCTAATAATGTTACTCGTGCATTTTGATGTTCTCATTGATACAGCCTACTCTGGATTACAGTATTGAACTTCAGGTGTTTAATATATCCAAAGTTCAATATAACCAAAAAAGCTATCATAAACATTTCAACATGCACTGTATTTCATGTATGTTTATTTATGTTCATATTTTAAACAAGCATTCTGAGAGTATTGCATTAGCAATACTAGTCCCCTACCGGCAAGTGAAATGTGGTTCCCGTTAAAATTTGAAAATGCCATAATTCCGTCAAAAGTCAATGAAATGGAACGAAATGCAAAGGTAAAGTCACATACCAAAAATCAGCTCAATATCTTCAGGCGTTTAGAAAAAAATTGCCGAAAACCATGAAAAATTGAAAAGGTCCTAGTTCCGTCAAAAATCAATAAAATAAAACTAAACACGTGTCGAAGTGTTTAAAAGAATTATATGTCACATACACATGTAATTGATTTTTAGCTCACCTCGACGAAGTCGAGATGAGCTTATGCTATACCTCCTATGCTATTTGACAAACCTGCATACCATGCACAGCAAGCTTAATCTAAATGACATTGTATAAGAGCAGAACATAATAACATTTTACTTCTTATATCCAAAAACAAGCTTGTCTGTATAAAAAATGCAACCTGTTGTTAACTTTTGTACAATGGACTCAATATTCTCCACTCAAAAATTGATCAACAAAAACTCCTAAATATTTAACTTTTTCCATAGAATGTATTGTATGTCCATTACACTCAATGTGAAAGTCTTGGACACTTTCTTGATCCAAATAGAATACATTCAGTTTTCCCGAGGTGTAGAGGTAACTTATTATCTACTAGCCAATTTAAACATTGTTTTAAAACAGTACTTAGTTTTTCTGAAATAAAATCTGCATTTTTGTGAGAAGATAAGATTGAACTATCATCAGCATTTAAGTAAGTTTGCAGTCAGGATCAATAATGGAAGCCATATCATTGACATAGATTAAAAATAGTAGAGGGCCTAAAATACTGCCTTGCTGTACCCCACATTTTAATGTACCTGTGTCAGACATATTTTCTAATTGTACAATTTGTTTTCTATTTGATAAGTAAGATAACCAATCAGTATTTCTTATTCCAGTGGCATTAAGTTTTTTGCCTAAAATTTCATGATCTGCAGTATCAAAAGCCTTTTGAAGGTCCAACATGACCATACCTGCAAATTGACCCTTTGATGTATTTCCTTTTATAAAATCATACAAATCTATTAAACAAGTTTCAGTAGAAAAACGTCCTCTAAAACCAGACTGAAATTCATATAAGATTTTATATTGATCTAAAAATTTAACAAGTTGTGTATGAACAGCCTTCTCTAAAATCTTAGAAACAATACTCAAAATACTGACAGGTCTATAATTTCCAACATCAAGTGAGCTACATTTATTGTACAGAGGTTTGATTCTAGCTATTTTCATATCATCGGTCACAATACCAGAAGAGATAGAAAGATTAATTATATATGTAATATGTATTTTCAAAATGTTTGCTCCATCTCTAACTAATCTAGCTGGGATGTCATCCAGACCTGTACTTTTGCTGGGATTGAGTTTTAAAAGTTTTTTATAAAAAAAATTCTCATTAACAGTTTTAAGTATAAAATTACAATTTTCAACTTTTTTTCTTCTGATAAAATGATAAAAAGTTTACAGAGTCGGTATTAAAAATATCTAAACACTTGAGTAATTTGTTAACCAATATTGAAGCTACATTTGTGAAAAATTCGTTAAAATAATTACCAAAGGTATTGAGGTCATGACACATTTTGCCATCTATATTTAGAGAAATTTTTATATCTTGTTTTTGTTTAATCTTGTTTTTGTCCAATATCCTTAAGGTGTTGCCAGAGTTTTTTGGGGTTGTCCTTGTCTTCTTCAATTTTTTTTGGAGAAAAATTCAGATCTTGCTTTTCTTATTTCTCTTTGTGTCTTATTTCTTAGTTCGCAAAAAAGTTTATAATCTTCTTTTTGTCCCGATTTCCTGTGTTGATACAGAGCTACATGTAGCTGGCCTCTTTCACTGATGTTACAAGTTTGAAAACGTTTTGTGGATATACATGCAAGTTAGATACCTCACATTTTATTCTTCACAAAATTCGAATGTCTATTTTCGATTTCCATTCATTTATCACATTCATCAAAGGTATCAAAATTGTAAAAGAGAACTACTGTATACGGTACCCACCGCGAAAGTGACAGTCCTGTCAGAATATTATGATGATCATTTCTTTTAATTTCTTTTTAACTCCGACGTAAATACATCATCGGACAAACTCTAATTGATTTTCCTGTTAGCTACATGTATAGTTGATTTTGAAAAACTATCATGTATAAGGACAAAGTATTCTCAACTTTCGTAAAATTTGACATTTCTGCATCCATGTTGGCACGTTTTATACACTTCAGAACCAGTTGATAACAAACGTCAATTGATTGGATGATAATACGGGCTTTCAATTAAGCAGCCAATCTGAATTGCCGACTTATTTGCACATTATTTTATTTTCTTAGTGCACTCGCATTTACGATCGGCAGGAAATTCAAAAATAAAATCAAAAACAAAGACTTCTATTTTTATTTGGTTTTAGCTAAAATTGCAGTCGGAGCTCCCATTAATCATTTTATTAAAAAAATGTTGGCCTTAATGATCTCAATTTTACAGTAGTATGATTTTTAAAATGCCCTTTTGATATGCGCCAAGAACAGTATATAATGGAATGGTCGCCGAGTCCAGTAGATATTGTGTCGAATTGCATTAGGTTTTCTTTCCTGTTCGTTAAAATATGCACTATATTATTGATGTAGATTCCTGTATGTCATTGTTTATACATGTTTCAGTAAATCTTTGAGAAATATTCAAATTAGGAAAATATATTACTGAACATGCAAATATCTTTATTTTCATTAAGAAAAACTTATATGAAACACATTTATTTGAAGTTATATGTGTTTTAAATTTACATCTTAATTATAGAAATTTGACCTCTTTGCACTAAAGACTCGTTTTTTTGTGGGGTTTTTTGTTTTGTTTTGTTTTGTTTTTTTGAAAGAAAGTTGTTTCTTAATATGAAAATTGACAAAAAAGTTCTCTTTTAAAACGGTCAATTTTAGATTTTTTTTTTATGTTTTTCTCAAATCGTGCATAAACTTTTCACATTTACGACTTCTTCTCAAGGACCACTGGGCCAATTTCCACCAAACTTGCCACAAACTATCCTTGGGTTAAGATGATTCAAGTTTGTTCAGATGATGAGCCAATGCCTTCTTCCAAGGGGAGATACTTAAGAATTAGTGAAAAATTAATGGTATCTTTTAAAAATCTTCTTCTTAAGAACCACTGGACCAGGTAAGATGAAACTTATATGGAAACATCCTCAGGTAGTGTAGACTCAAGTTTGTTAAAATCATTACCCCCAGGGGTAGGGTGGGGCCACAATGGAGGATCAAAATTTTACAAAGAAATACATAGAAAAAATCTTTAAAAATATTCTTCTCCAGAACCACTGGGCAAAGAAAGATGAAACTTATGTGGAAACATCCTCAGGTTCATTAAAATCATGACCCCCAGGGGTAGGGTGGGGTCACAATGGAGGGTCATTGTTTTACAGTCCCTGAAACGTTCTACTTTCCCACCTGAACGGTGAGCGAACGCTGAACGAACGGTGAACAAACGCTGAGCGAACAGTGAGTGAACAATATGTGAACGCTGAACGCAACTTGGTGAACGATGTGTGAACGGTGAGCGAATGCAGAACGTGAACGGAGCGCAAACGCGAACGCAAAGTGAACGGTGAACGAACGGTGAACGCAAGATGAACGATATATTCGGAATGCCTCTGATCTTTTCCTTGCATTGAAACTATTTTATTGTTTTATAATGTCAGGTGCCAAAAAAAAAAATCAATCAATCAATAATAAATAAGTAAACCAATAAATGAATGAATAAATAAGTCAATAAAATAAATTCTCCAAAATTGTCCTGAGAAAGACGATGCATGCACATTAAGTTTTTAATCACACAATTTTTATCGCATTAAAACATTGCAATTGTTGCCGAACGCTGAAGTATAAGAGATATTTTTTTTTTAGTTCGAAAATAAAAATGTTTATTCTTATTTGATAACAAATCAGAGAAAACTTCTGACTTATAGAATGAATTAAAGTGGTTGTAACATCCATTCATATATCTCCGTGTTAAAGTGATTTCGTGTAAAGTAATGAAAAAAAAAAATAATAACAAAGGTCAGTGGATGTTTTGCATCTATACGCTCGTATTTTAAATTTTTAATACAATAATATATTATGTGTCATTTCTATTTTCAAAATGATTTATTCAGGCCCGTAGGAAGCAAATTCGTTTTTTTTGGGGGGGGGGGGGCACAGCCATACATTTTCAGTTGATAGTTGAGGGGGCACTACCAAAAATTTCCTGACAAGCAAAAAAAAAAGGTCATCAGACTTTTTATTGTGGGGGGCACAAGCATATAGTCTATGTTTACTATAATAATCTATATATCGGCAAATTATTGGGGAGGGGGGCACAGCCCCCCCCCCCACCCCCGGTTGCTACGGCCATGTTTATTGAGCAGACTTCTACATTTATCTGTAGATGGCCGTGATTATACTCGGACAAGATAATACAAAGATACATATTCATATCATTTGTTATAAATTCAATTTTCAGAACTTGATATTCAAGTAATATGCTGTTATTGTTTTTATTAAACAGACAAATGAGAGAGAGAGAGAGAGAGATTCCGTTTTAGCCCCCCCCATTTCAGGCTTCACTAAATGTTTGTACCCATATCAAACAAAAACTCTGAAATTTTTTTCTAAATATATCAGACAGTGAAAGTAACTTTTTTTTTTTATCAACAATTCATATCC